ATTATTATTATTATTATTATTGTTATTATTATTATTATTATTGTTATTATTAACTATTATTATTAATTATTTTTATTATTAATTATGTTAAATTTTGTCCCTCGTTGAGCAACTGAAAAATCTCTTGTGTTGTTAAACAGTATGATTGCTGATGTTTATGATTGTTGACGTTAATGTCCGGACAATCTCCATCTATCGGTAATACCAATATCATTGCACTCTATTTCATCCACCTTTTCCTGCTGCATATATGCTGCACAAAATACTTTTATTATGCTCCTCACTACCTCAGAACAAGTTTACAAATAGCATATACAATGCGTATGTTTTTGCCAAATTATCACATTTGCGCCCCTTCCTGATTTTCCACGAACAATCCTCCCTCTCTTTCTTTCTTTCTTTCTCTCTCTCTCTCTCTCCCTATCTCTCTCTGTTAGGGTAGTTTCTGTCCTATAAGTATTTCGGAAATATTTGGACTAGTTGTCATACTGCTTACTGGATATCATGGTACCTTTTTTATTCCAGAAAACTTTCTCATTTGATTAAATTACAGTAGTATCATTTTTACAATAATATCATTTTGTAAGAATGGTTTAAGTAAGCAATGCTAATTTTTCAGTAATCATTAAAAAATCATATTTCAAAATTAAAAAAAAAAACAAATTCTGATTGCACTGAAAGTACCACTAATTTCTTTCATCCTGAATATCGGATTATTATTTTAGGTTCCTGTTTATATGAAAATATAATTGTAAATGTACTAAAAGTACTAATAGTTTTCTTATATCTCGAATACCGGATTATCATTTAGGATACTGTTTATGTGAAATATTTAGATATACTGAAAATATTAATAAAACACAATTGTAAATGCACTAAAAGTACTAATAGTTTCTTTTATCCTAAATACCGGATTATCATTTCGAATTTTGTTTGTGTAAAGTATTTAGATACATTGAAAGTACTAATAGTTTCTTTCCTCCTGAATAGGAATTATCATTTCGGATCATGTTATAAATATGAAATGACACACTATTCCATCTATTGTAGGGAATATTTCTCATTCCACTATATCCCACTATAACTTCAATGATATAAACAATCTATTAAATGCTTTAATTAATTAACAATTTGTGAATTAATTATTTGAATTGGAATTAGAATTTTCTTTTAAATATTAAAATTTTCATTAAAGGTGATGGTACCACATTCGCTCTTTGTTGGTATCTCTGCTTTCATCAGAGTTTTCATTTTGGTAAGTGTTATAAATATAATGTTATTTTATTGATAGGTATTGTTGACCTTTTTGACATCGTTATGATAATTTTAAGAGGTTTTGTATCTGTGTGTGTGTGTGTGTGTGTGTGTGTGTGTATGTATGTCTGTGTCTGTGTGCATTGTTTGCAGCCTGCAGTTGCATTGTTTACATGGCATGCATTGGTTGCAGCCTGCAGTTTGCATTATTTGCATGGCACGATGAAACTTTCCTTACATGCTTCAGCAATTTTGTTTTCCCTATCGTTCCACTTCCTTTTTCCCAAACAATTTAAATGTTTGACCTTAATATGCTCAGCCACTTATGACAAATTTTCAAGTGTCCTTTCCTTTTATTCCTTCGCTTTAACATTTACAAGAAAGTCGTGCTACTAAGAAGGTCGAATATTTGTGGAAAAGCGGCACTTCTAGCTGATATCCAATTGAATTAATTATTGAGAGAAATTTTGGGAAGTTTAAAATTCAAATCTGTTAAAACTTTCCGTCCATTTAAATTCAACAAAAAAAAAAAAAAGAAAGAAAAAAAATCGTATAATTGAATCGTTTAACACTTCAAACACTTTTTTTTTTTTGCTGGATTGGTTATATAAATGAAAGGGAAAGAATTACGAATATGTGAATTTAAAAAAAGAAAAAGTGTGAATTGTATTCAGTGCCATTCTTATTCGTCAAAATGATGGAATAACAAACAATTCCGTGGATGGGCAAAAAGTTTTAAGGAAAAATTTACACAAATTTATTTTTTATTAACGAAAAAAAAATGCTAATAATAGTAAAATTGATTAAAATGAAAATTTCTCTTTCAATTATTGAAAAATTATTTTTAAGCGGGAAAAGGAATAATAGCAATTATGTGTAATTGAATGAAATTATTATTCACAATAGCTTATTTTTACAATTTGATTAAAAATTAAAAGCATTAAATTTTGATGAAAGAAATGTTCTTTTTTTCACAATTAAAATTTCTTATTTCCTTAATTAATTCATCTTAATGAAATAAATTTCACAAAAGTTACAAGACATTTTATCTTATGTAAATTGAAATCTATTATCCTGACTATAGTATGAGATAAACAGGTTTAGTTTCAGTCTACAATTTTTGCCTCTATCATAATCACTAGTATCATGCTTCATCAAGTTTTTTTTTTTTTTTTTCAGTTACTTGTGTTCATCTCGGTGATATTAATTTTTACGGCACCAGGTGTTTGCTATACACGTTACATTAATGATATTCGAGCTACTGATGAGATTTGTCCGAGTGAAAATTTCCTACCAATGGGTGTCAATCGATGGAGTAATGGTGTACATTTCCAACATCGTGGACAAAAGTATCATATTCCTCGTTTAATTTACATAATTTATTAAAATGACGGATTTCTTTATGCTTTTTTAAACTAAATCCGTCAGTTGATATTTGCGTTCATAAAAATGTCTCGAATTAACTTATCTCGAGACTGTCATTGGGCTGGATCATTGTCTGGATCAAGTATTCATTCTTAAAAGAAGAATATTAGTGAAACTTATGAAGCATAAATAGCTTAGACATTATCAGTGTGTATTTACATAGCAAAGTTTGCTTTTATAAGGTTATTTCATATACAACGCTGTGATTATCATTTCAACAAAACTTGTCGTATTATGAGAATCTATCTGGATCCGATTTTGTTAAAGGACATCATGATTATTACAATTTCCGGAAAACTTATAAACATGAGCATAGCTAGAACGGAGATGTTCACAATTGCTAGCAACATTCCATGTTTAGCTTAGATATTAGCGACATTATTCAATAAATAAAGTTTCACAAATGAAATGTCCCTCTGTGACAGTATTGTCGGATGTGTTATCCAAACAGCGCTGGTAGTAAAACTATTTTAAATTGTCGGTTTTCAATGGTTCAAACTGGTCCACTTAACTCATTTTTGTTATTTTCGTTTACCTGTATAGGTCATCTTGGAGGAAATGATTTTCGAAAATGTTTAAATTTTGAAACAAAAAAGTTGAATATCTATATCTGGCTGCTATGATCTTTTGTCTTTAATTTAACTGTTTTCATTCTTTTATTTGTGCTATTTTCCGGATTAGTCTGTTTACCATGCTATATTCCGGATTAATCTGTTTGCCATGCTATATTCCGGATTAGTCTTTTGCCAAATTCGTGCAATTCGTCTCACTTCAAGTTTGTTTGAAAAAGATGCGCAAAATTTCTCTCCGAATCAAACAGAAATGATTAGAGATGCATGACTCATATGTACAATATTTACAATTGTGGAATAGTTATTTGATCAAATGTTTACTGTTCCAAACCATCCAATCATACTTGATAATTAAGCTGGCTAATATTTCTAGTAGACAAAAATGGAATATGAATATAAAAGATTGGAACTTGAAATGAAAAATCAGTATTTGATTTCTTGAGAAATAAAAGTTAACGTTGAATTTAGAAAAATTAAACTTAAACTACTATTGTTGTTTGAGGTTTAAATATTGATAATCAACAATTGATAATGCTGTATTGATAACAATGATATTGATAACATTAAGTTACAAAAATACTACGAAATATTCCCTTTTAATTAGAAATTTTATCTGTTTTTTCTCATCCTTTCTCATTCATCCACTCATTTTACTCAATTTGAACGATGTCAAAAATCAATATGATATCATTGTTTTATCACTGAAATGTTCACAATCCTACAACCTTAATCTGCTATTTCATATTACTGATGCCTTATCAGTTTCAATTCTTATCATTTATCATCCTATTAGATTGGTCAAATGTTTTAAACAAATAAATAAATAAATATTTCAGTGTTTGGGGTCAATTGGCAATCGTCATAATTGCAATATTATTTGCCTTACCACCACTTGGACTAAGCTGTTTTCAGATTACTACTGGTGTTTCGCTATTTTACATGGTGAGCATTTTCTTTTTTGCAAACAAAGGCTTGCATTATGCAATCACAAACACATAAATATATTTTATATTTCTAGCTGTAAAAGTTAGCCAAAGTTTGCTTAATTAAATAATTAGCTAAATTCATTTTATATGCTAATAAAACAATAAAAGTATGGATAATTAGGTAAATATTTAACAGTAATCAGATCAATCATAATAAAGTAATAAACATTTCGCACAAAAAAATTCTTACAAGTTTGCAACTTGAATTTTTCCAATGCTATTATCAATTCTGTATTTCTTTCTATTGGATTATTTGATTTGAATAGTTGACGTATATTCATCATCATCATCATCGTGGATGATGATAATCATGATAATCAGTAAAATAGTGATAATCAGTAAAATGGTGGCAATTAATAAAGTGGTGATAATCAGTAAAATTATTAGTCATAATTCGGTATTAATTTGAGACTGATACAAGCAGTGCAAAATTTATCATTTTTATTTTCAGTAAAAGTTTTCATACCATAACTTTCATGGGTTCTATATTAGCTAATCATGCTTGTCACTTATTCTTGCAAAAAAAATGAAAACTATTCGACAATGCGCAATATACACTTAGATGCTTAATCTCCCCATATATAGCATACTGTAAACCTTCTTTATCATTTACTTTGCTTTTTCTGCTGAAGCATCAATGATGGATCATTATCTAATGATAGCTTATCATCAGTATCATTATGATATTACCAATAGATTTGTTTTTTCTTTTTGGATGAAAATTTGAAATTTAATTTTTCAGCAAATATGTTTGTCAATGGTATCAATATTGATTTTCTTGGCTCTTGGAGGTGTGGAAACATGGTATGCAACCGGTTACAGTCATATGGGACCATTAATAAGACAAATTGGTGGTGGTCAATTTAGTGGTTGTATGAATCTACCAAACTGTGATATAATATTTGTTGTTAAAGGATGGGCAGCTGCTGCGGTTTGCAAAACTTTTAAAAAATCATTTCTTTTTTTTTTTTGTCTCTCATTTATATCATTCATTGTAGGAATTAAATTTATATTAAATTCAAAAAAATTTGTTCAGAAATTTAATTATAATTTTTGCTACAAATGTATTTATTAATAAATGCTATCAATGTTAATTTTCCTCGAATTTCTTTTTAGTAAAAATATGAATCAATTTTTTAATTCAATTCGAGGGAGATTTAAAATTACAAGGGCACATCGAAATTGAAATAAATTTTTTGATGTATAAAAATTCTAACTTAGAGGTACGAATGATTGGTATATAATTTGAAATCAATTGAAATTAATTAGAAAAATCAAAATTATTAAACATAATTAGTTAAAGAGTTTTAAAACTAGTGAAATATTGCGTATTAGGTTTTTAATTTGAAAATTAAGTTTTACTATTGATACTTGCAACGCGAATAATTAAACAACCATAAATTAAAGAATAATTAAATAACCATAAAATAAAAGTAATTAAAACAATCCTTTATGAGGAGTGTTTATTCCTCATAAAAGATTGAATTTACAGAAATTCTCAAAAGATAAGA